ATTGGATTAATATTGGTGGATCATTTTTCAGTCATTCATTAAATGATAAATCACTATATGCTTTTTTGGGGGAGAGATACTATTTCACCAATCGAGTCGCTAGTATCTAACATATTCATACCATTTATTATTTGTGTTGTGTCGAATTCGTATTAAGACTTATTCAACTCTTAACTCATTAATTTCGTGCGATGTCGATTTAAAAAATTTCACTCTCAAGTAGCACCACTCTTAGGTAATACTAAGGCCTGAACNTTCATTAAGTTCGTGCGACGTCAATTTAAAAAATTTCACTCTCAAGTAGCACCACTCTTAGGTAATACTAAGGCCTGAACACTAATAGTTAATGCGAGGACAATAATTCTGTTTTTCTCAATTATCTTTTGACAAATTTTTCTAACCAAATCTATTATTCTTGTTGGATTAATGACGATTTTTAATTAAGGGTTACAAGCTTGTGTTAAATTTTTTTCAAAGGATTAAAATAAGATGACGGGTTTGAATTTATTTATGTAGATGCCAATCATACAAAAATAAACACCAGATATAGACCAATTACAAACAATTTAATGTTAAAGTTAAGAACACAAACATAAAAAAATGGCAATTCGTACAACAATGGCAATTGTAGAAAGCCCTTATACAATATGAAGCACTAAACATTGTATAGCATATCAAATTAAGATTAAGATTTTTATTTATGGAGTTGTTTTAAGTCTAAATTTTTGTCATATTTTTAGGATTCTCTTTTTCTGTGTACTTATGGAATGATTTTTGTATTTTATTGCACAATAACCCCAGCCTTAAACAATACAAAATGATCTTATATGTTTTTGAAAAAATATGTAAAATGATTTTCAATGTGTTTGAAACTTATCAGTACGTGTCCAAAGTTTATCTGTAACGTGTTCATAGCCATTTATGTATGAGGTCAAGCTTTTTTGACTATGTGCCTATGCCCACTTTTGGGAAACTATATCTGAAAAAAATGACATTTGTATATACAACAATATACATAATTTGCACTTTGATTTAACTTGTTCGTTTGCTCGAATTGTTATTATTTCTGTTTAAATGTCCTACAGATGATGCAAAGAAGACAACACACCTCCTTGAACTTGATGGAGCTAAGGAAAGGCTACATTTGTTTGAAGCAAACTTAACTGAAGAAAGATCATTTGATGCTGTGGTTGATGGTTGTGAAGGTGTCTTCCACACAGCATCTCCTGTTTTCCTTTCAGCCACTGACCCTCAGGTACATGGAGTGGTAGCCACATCTGTATAACACTTGAGGCAAATCAATTCCTTTGTTACCGTGACTTTCAAACTTCTTTATTCAGATACTGCCATTTCTAACTTATTTTCAATGTGTCATAGTGTATATGAAAGCGTCATTTCATTGTCTTTTACAATTTATATAAAAGCGTAGTTTTAACCCACACTTTTCATTGTAAAAGTGCGTATGACAAAACACACTATTCAAATTTCCAATTGAAATCGTGTTCTGCAAATACGCTTTTAGATCAAAAAGCGTAGGTTAAAACCACACATTGATATTTTGACAATGTTCGATTTGGAAATAAGTTAGAAATCACAGTGTTTGTTGAGAAAAAAGAATTTGAATAATATGCATCTCGACACCACAACCATTGTGACATCATCTGTTTGATACTAATGCAGTGCCTACATTTAGAGTCTTCAAAGTGGTCTTGTTACCACTTGAAATTGTTCTGATTGTTTTAGGTGGCAACACATGTAATGAATAACAGAGTGGAGAGTGGATAAGCATATGACAAGATCAAGGAATAAACTTTAACTCTAAGCCTATAAATTAGAAAGGGTATCAAGACTTTGCCTTGGAATAAGTTAATTTGGAAGCTAATGAAAATAGAAACATGAAGACTAGAGCTTTTTTCTTGAATTTATACTTTATATGCAAATATATATTTGAAAGTAGCGGAGATTCTACTTTCTTGATCTGGCTAGAAATTAGCTCCCTTGTATAAGAAGTGAAAACTAAATCTAATAAAACTGAAGTTCATATGCTTTATTCTTTAGAAGTAATGGGCACTGTATCATTCTCTTCGGTGGTCTTCCTCCCCTGCCCCTCCCCTTCTAGGGGGAGAGCAAGAAGATTTGACGTGGTTGAGCTATACTCTTTGTAGTTATGATTTATCGACTTCGTTCAATGACTCATAGCTATTCTTAGCTTAAAAGGAATGATAGAAATGTGAGAGGTCTACACTCATATCTATTTTATAGTGCCTTGAATTTCACTAGATTGGTTCAATACAGCTTGGTATGCACGGAAGGTTTTTTCTGATACAATGCCTTAGTGCTATGTGCTTACGTTTACATAATGTTGTTGGCTTTTATTCGCTTCTTATGAAAAATTGTATATAGAATGTCTGCTTATCATTTGCTTACCCTTTACAACATTTCAGGCAGAATTAATTGAGCCTGCTGTGAAGGGAACACTTAATGTTCTGACATCCTGTGCAAAAGTTTCATCTATCAAAAGGGTGGTAGTAACATCTTCAATAGCTTCGGTTAGAAACAATGGAAAACCTATAAACCCTGATGTTGTAGTTGATGAGACTTGGTTCTCAGATCCAGTATTTTGTCAGGAGTCAAAGGTTCGATCGTAAATGTGCTTATGTCTTCAATATTTAAGGAATTAACAACATCCATTGAGTTCACTATTACTCTTGTATTTCGTTCTTTATTGCCACGAGAGATAAGTAGCAGACCTGTCATCCTATGCACGGTGGTGTNATAAATGTGCTTATGTCTTCAATATTTAAGGAATTAACAACATCCATCGAGTTCACTATTACTCTTGTATTTTGTTCTTTATTGCCACGAGAGATAAGTAGCAGACCTGTCATCCTATGCACGGTGGTGTGGAGTATGCATGGTTTTCTGTTGTTTGTATTTGCTTGTAAATCAATGGGTATACTTGGCATAAGTGTAATTTCTTTCAGTTCATGCAGTCATTACTTACCGAAAAAAAAAACATTTAACTGCATCATCTAGTGTTATACGAAGTCCATTAAGATAGTTTTTTTTAGTTTAAGGCCTAAAAGAGATCTTGAAATGTTAATTATTTTAGCATATAGATGGGAAAAGGTCACAAAAGCTGTTTTCTTTCAGAAGAAGTTAGAATTCGGACAGCAAAAACATTAAAGCTTATTTTGTAGTTACCTGTGATGTCATTTAAAAATATAGCTAGAGAGAAGTTAACTTGCTTTAATACCCTTCATTTTTTGCTAATTAAACTTTGGTTCATGTATAAGCTATGGTATATGCTATCAAAAACCTTGGCCGAGGAAGCTGCATGGAAATTTGCAAAACAGAATGGGATTGACTTGGTGACGATACATCCAGGCTATGTGACTGGTCCTCTCTTGCAGCCAACTCTCAATAGCTCTGCTAAGGGGATTCTGAACTTCATAAATCATGGTAAATTTTTCTATAGCAAATGAGGATGATGCATATGATAGTATATTTCTACTTGAAATGTTTTGATTCTTCATCTCAATTGTTACTAGCAACCGTCTAGGTAAAATACTGAGAGTTGTTGTGAACCGGATATGGTGAGTCTTTTCTATATTTCTGACAGGATTGGAAACATTGTATGGGCAATGACATTTAGGAAGAAAGCCCTAATTGATATATGGTTATGGGGTTCTCTTAGAGAGCAATTTATGTTTTACTTAACTAATCAGGTTACGAATAGAATCTAATCTAGTTTGGAAGGAAACTAATCATTCCTTTTCATGGCCGCCAGTACGAGGTTCTTGGAATTGTTTTTCTTCTGACAGTTGGTCATTGATATAGGATTTGGTTCCAGAAAGAATTGTGATGGGGAGAAAATCCTTCTGCAAGTTTTTTCTCTCAATTCATTCTGTCATTTGAAGTTTAAAGGTCAACCATCTTAATTTTTTCTTGTTTGGAAGAAGTCTAAATTCATTATATTCATTGTAAGTTTCAATTATTTTGTGAGACGCAGGAGATGTTATCTTCTTTGAAGTTGCTCATTCTTTCCCCCTTTTTTTTTTTGGTTCTAATGACATGCCTATTTCTTGAGGACAATGGCCCCCGAGGATTATTTCGCTTGCTGATTGTGAATTTGTATTATATTCCTTGGCATCATGATAAACTGAATTGGCAGGCTGCTANGATTATTTCGCTTGCTGATTGTGAATTTGTATTATATTCCTTGGCATCATGATAAACTGAATTGGCAGGCTGCTATCAACATTATTCATAATTCAGTTCAACATGATCGAATCAAATATGTTAAAATTAATCGGCACTTCATTAAAGAGAAGTTAAACAAGGCATGATTTGCATGCCTTTTGTGAAGTCAGAATTAGTTAGCCAATATTTTTACAAAGGGGCTTAGTAGCAAGGTTTTCACCCTATTGTTTGCAAGTTGAGTATGAGAGATATCTATGCACCAACTCGAAAGGGACTGTTACGTTCTGTGTTATTTCTAGAATAAGGGTATTTTAGTATTTTGTGTTTATATATAAAGAGGATATAATTGTGTAACCTAACACACCCTACCCTATTGTGATAATCTTTTCTTTTTCTCTCGCCCTCTCTCTAAACCCTAACAATTTTACAATTTAACCATAAATTATGTTTTGTAGCTTTCAAGCAACATACACATATTTTGTAGAACTCATACAAAACTGAAGTAAAAATTTTGGAGTACAATAATTTCCTTTTGTTTCCACGTTTTTTTAATCATGAGATAATGGCCAAATATTATTTTTCTAGTTTTTTTTTTAATTCCAATGACTGTTGCATTGTTGCATATGCAAATCTCTTTTTCGTTCTTAGGTACATCTATACATGCAATTTTTTTGATACAAGCATTTAAGTTATATATGATTTAGGACAGGAAATGCTCTCTACTGGAATCTATTCATATGTTGATGTTAGAGATGTTGCATATGCACATGTTCAAGCATTGGAGATTGCTTCAGCTAATGGCAGATACTGTTNATGTTGCATATGCACATGTTCAAGCATTGGAGATTGCTTCAGCTAATGGCAGATACTGTTTAGTTGAGACAGTGACATACTCTTCTGAAACTCGGAAGATATTGCACAAGCTTTACCCTACTCTCAACATTCCAAAAAAGTAAGTATTTAGTATTTCAAATGTCCTTAATACTAGATGACTGTGCTAATAATTGAAATAATTAAAGTTGACCACACGTTCAGAAAATGCGCATTATTCAAAACTAAAGTAGGCCACCCAACAATGTAAATTAGACTCATAATTAACTAGAGAACAATTATTATCTCTAATCACCATATGTTTACATGAAAGGGGTTAACTCTAAGCCTTTTTTATTTGAATTTCTATTGAAAATATTGACAAGAAGTACCATGTAATGTCATGCTTAAAATGCATGATTGATTTATTTCTTTCGGTATAGAAAAAAATGGATTTGTGGTACTTTTCCTTTTGATTTGCAATTAACGTTTCAAAAAATATTTATCGTAGTAATCAAAGATATATTGTATATATTATCTTTTGATGTCGACATTATTGCTTTAGCAAAGAAATTTTAATTGAATTTAATACTATTTTTTATGGCAGGTGTAAAAATGAAAAGTTGCTTGTCCCACCATTCCAAGTATCGAAGGAGAAGGCAAAAAGTTTGGGCATCGATTTCCTTCCTCTTGAAGTGAGCCTTAGGGACACCGTAGAAAGTTTAAAGGAGAAGAAATTTCTAAATTTTTGAATAATAATATAATACTGAGCAGAGCAATGCAAGTGCATAAGACGTTGTGTTTTTCAAGGTTTTATGTTGTAAAATTTGCCACAATGATATGCAACAAGTTGGAATATGTTTTGGTTTGTGCTTTTCATTTCTTTGCCTTAATATTGTATCTATGCAAAATCCTTCACATGGCACCTTTTCTCCTAAAAGATTTTAAGATTTTTGTTTTCCCCTCCCCTTAGTAGTTAAATGCCTCAGAATGCATACTGAATTTTTTTTTAAAATTAACTTTTAAAATCTAAAGTGACGTTATAATGCATTTGCAGACCGAAAACTAATTGCCACCTAGCAGTTGTGGCATAATGCTATACTCTTGAAATTATAGTTCTGAATATTTATGTCTCTCAATTATTAATTCGAGTGCATGGTAACTTGAACTATTTATATTTATGACAGGGTTATTCAAAATCGGTACTATTTTGAATTTAAAAGGGCCCACATCTCAAAAGTGTTGGAATTAAATTTAATAATTACGAGAGAAATAAAATCAGAATCACATTTTGAGAGACAAATTATAATCAATCCCGAGGCCACCCCCGAACTACTCCAATGAAACCCTCCTATAATGAACTCACACCTAAAATAAATTTAGGGTTCCTTGAAAGTCGGTATACCTAATTAAACTTATTTGACAAAAAATACATAGAACAAAATATTTTGAAAAAAAATAGACAGCTGAGATACAAAGACGTAAATGCCCATTTTATGGTCATTTAATTCAAAATCTCTTATCTTTAATGCACCTTGATTCATGTGTGTTTGTTAAATGCACATTGATTCATGTGTGTCGTTAATACATATAAATAGGTATATGTGTGTGTGTATATATATATTATTTCAAATTATATTTAATGCACCTTGATTCATGCATTTTTTTTTTTGAAAAGTGGTTTTAATTTTAAATTAATTTAATATCCATAACAATAACAGTGTAACAAAAATAATGTAACAATAACAATATAACAAAAACAGTGTTCAGTAGTTTTGTGCATGTGGTAACAAATTAAAAACGGATATGAATTATTTTAAATGAAATTATATGAAACTATATATTTAACAAAATGTAATAATACAATATTTTGTGTAAATAGTTTATTACACTGCTATTGTTACACTATTACACTATTCAGATATTAAATTAATTTAAAAATAAAACCACTTTAAAAAAAACGCATGAATTAAGGTGCATTAAATATAATTTGAAAACGAAATCACTTTAAAAAAAAAATATGCATGAATCAAGGTGCATTAAAGATAATTCAAAATTTAGATAAGTGATATATATATATATATAAACTAGGAGATGTTTAATGCATTATTTTTCAAAGAAAAAACACATAGATTAATAAAAGGTAAAAATGTCACAAAAAAATAAATAAAATTTAAATAATGTACTTAGATACAAATAAGTATCAAAATTAAGGACTTAATTATGCAACATTTTTTTGTGTGTACTTTTTTACAATTAAGTCTAATTTGGTGTACCTGCTTCCAATTTTCCCATAAATTTACGTCCACTAGCCAACACCCATCCAGAGAGAGAGAGAGATCCGTGTATGTATATACATACACACACGCATGACTAGATCCAATAGATGTCGCATCGTGGTTGACTGAATCGATCTTTGCTGCGTNTTTAATTATACAATATTTTTTTGTGTGTACTTTTTTACAATTAAGTCTAATTTGGTGTACTTGCTTCCAATTTTCCCATAAATTTACGTCCACTAGCCAACACCCATCCAGAGAGAGAGAGAGATCGGTGTATGTATATACATACACACACACATGACTAGATCCAATAGATGTCGCATCGTGGTTGACTGAATCGATCTTTGCTGCGTATTTATGGTTATTTGTTTTTTAGATCAAATGATACATGAATTTGTTGGGCTTTGCTTGTTTGATGATGGGGCATAGAAGACAGTCAGAGATGAGGTAGGGCTTGGGAGTTTGCCTATGCTAGTATGGGAGAGGCTGTTGGAGGTGGGTTTTGGTTTTGGGGTGCTGTCAGCATTGGGTATGGGGTGGGGGACCACTGGAGTAGGGGAAAGGGATTTGGGGGCATCGTTGGAGCTGCGGGTNCATTGGGTATGGGGTGGGGGACCACTGGAGTAGGGGAAAGGGATTTGGGGGCATCGTTGGAGCTGCGGGTGGGGGATTGTCGGAGCAAGAGGTGGGTGTTGGGGGCACCGTCAAAGTAGGGGAAGCGGTTGGAGGCATCACTGGAGCTGGGAAAGGGGTTGGATTCAACGAGAAGATGTTGGGGGTATTTTAGCAATTTTGTATTTTCCATCCACTGTCTCAGTTAATTTAAGTCTAAAAAAAATTTAAGAGTCCATTTGGTATGGAGGATGAAAAATTAGAAGGAATATATTTTTCCTCATTATGTTTGATATGATGGNAAAAAAAATTTAAGAGTCCATTTGGTATGGAGGATGAAAAATTAGAAGGAATATATTTTTCCTCATTATGTTTGATATGATGGAGGAAAATTGAAGGGATATATTTTTTTTTGGGTTCGTTTGTTTAGCTGGAGAATGATAGAAAATTCAAGAAAAATAAATTTTTTAAAATTTTCATGTGTTTAGTTAGTATGAAAAGAAAAATGATGGAAAAAATAATTTTCCTACATTCTTGAATTTTCTTACAANTGGAAAATTGAAGGGATATATTTTCTTTTGGGTTCGTTTGTTTAGCTGGAGAATGATAGAAAATTCAAGAAAAATAAATTTTTTAAAATTTTCATGTGTTTGGTTAGCATGAAAAGAAAAATGATGGAAAAAATAATTTTCCTACATTCTTGAATTTTCTTACAAATAACCAAATTTTTTTTCTTACCAAAAATGCAAGAAAGTTATATTCTATAACTAACTTCCTACTTTACCCTTAATTTTCTTAAAATATTTTATTGGTTATTAATTTTAAAAAAATTTGGTATGAATTTGATTAATCATATAATTTGGACGAAAAGACATTTGTATTAGTGATTGTCTTAAGATTAAGTTTCGAGCCATTTTTTAGGAATTTTTTAACTTTCAATTATAATTACTTATTTTTTCCTTTTAAAACCGATTTAATATAATTAAGAATAATTTAGACAATTATAAAAAAATTCTTATAACTTTTCTTTCTTTTAAACAATAGAATGAAATTTTTCTGTAAATTTTTTATTCTAACTAAATACATGTATGAAAATATATTTTCTATCAGTTTCTTTTCTTTCACTTTACTTTTTATCATTATCACTTTCCATCATTTTTTNTAAACAATAGAATAAAATTTTTCTGTAAATTTTTTATTCTAACCAAATACATGTATGAAAATATATTTTCTATCAGTTTCTTTTCTTTCACTTTACTTTTTATCATTATCACTTTCCATCATTTTTTTCTTCCTAATCAAACAAACCCAAAATTGGATGGAAAGGGAAAATATATATATCAAATTTACCATTATACCCTCACATCTAATTACATGAATAAGATTAAAGAAAATAAACCAAAATGCATGATTTTTTTTATAAGTATATAATATTTAAACCCCCTAAAGTTTATAAGTATATAATATTTAGACCCTTTTTAAGTTTAAAATATTATATTTAGACAAAAAATACTCTAANATGATTTTTTTTTTATAAGTATATAATATTTAAACCCCCTAAAGTATATAAGTATATAATATTTAGACCATTTTTAAGTTTAAAATATTATATTTAGACAAAAAATACTCTAATCAAACATGAAATATTAAATATTTTAAATTTTACAACCAAAATTCATGTTCTATTGTATCATTTATTGAAATAAAATTTACTTATAAAGAAATTCTTAATTTGATTATTTAATGTGTATCCAACTAGGGATTATATGTATTTTTTTCATTGCGTACATTTAATTATTAAATCTTCCATTACATATACAAAAGCAAACTTAATAAGTTAAGTTCTAATTATATTATGCGGTAAATACTAAAAATTATATAATTAAAGAGAGTGGTGGGTAAAATAGTAAATTCTCAAAAAAAAACTCATCTTCCCTCCATTTTCAATCCATTTTTCACCCATTTTTGGGGTGGAAATGTTTTGTGGGCTCAAGGGAAAGCATTTCCATTCCATTTTTCATTCTCTCTCANAAAATTATATAATTAAAGAGAGTGGTGGGTAAAATAGTAAATTCTCAAAAAAAAAACTCATCTTCCCTCCATTTTCAATCCATTTTTCACCCATTTTTGGGGGGAAAATGTTTTGTGGGCTCAAGGGAAAGCATTTCCATTCCATTTTTCATTCTCTCTCATTTTCCCTCCATACCAAACAATGAAAAGATTTTTCTTCCATCCCATTTTTCTTCCTTCATTTTTCATCCTTCCTATTGTCCCTCCAACCAAACAGGGGGTAAGAGACCAAATTATCGAATTTGAAATCAGAGAGAGTCAATCACAATATTATCCAAACTTGGAGGGGACATTTTATAATTAACACTAAAACATAATAAACATTACAAATAGAGATAGAAGAGCTTAACTATATCAATTTGTGTCATGTCGTGGTATTTGTGTTGAATATTTTTATGTCGGGTCATTTTTATTTGTGTCATGTTTATGGTAGGACCCACGAAAAAAATTAATTAGTGTATTCTAAGTATCAAATGCTAATATAAATCTTTTATTATACACCTTTAATAATCGTTTCAATTTTAAAAATATGTTAATATTGAGTTTATATCGACGAGTGAGAGTTAATAACGCTAAAAGAAGTACACTCATTGAACAAAGAAGACTTTAGACCATGCTCATTATTCTCACACTTTGCACTCAACTCAGGTATCCAATTATGTTCTCTACTCTCGCAATGTCCTCTTTTTATATTGAAGGATGATAAATCGATGCATTACTCAATAAATATTTCATTGAACATGTCTTACTTTTTATTTATTCTTAGAGTACAATCAATTTTTTTTTGCTTTTGCTTAATTATTCTATGGATTAGTAAATATAAATTAAGGCATTAATATCAATTATAATTGTAGTACTAATCAACTTTCTAATTCAAATCTGTAAACTCCAAAAAATAAAAGGAATCATAAATAAACATTACTATTATCTTATTAAATTAAATGACACGGCACAAACCTACACACATGAATCCAATGGGTTAGTGTTAAAATTTTTCCACTTTCCTTGGTTAAGAATACTGGGTACCCAATTTTTAATTTCTTTTTAATTTGGAGCTTTTCAAAAAGATAACATGAGACCTTCCTTTTCCCAATCACTACATATTAAATGTCAAACCCCACATATTACATTGTCATTGCTTACGTCACAATGATCAAGCTGTTAGAAACATCAGAAAAATAGTGATGAAATGTTATGATCGATAATGCATATTCTTAATAATTGTAATTTCACCTTTAAAAAATATAATTTATCCTAAAAAAAATAATAACCTTTAGAAGTTGTAACTTCTATGATCAATCATGTCTTTTCCAGTTATAATTTTTATCTCAAAAAATTATAAATTCCAATACTTTATTAAAATTGATACCGTAGTCATCCTTTTTTTTTTTTGTTTTGTTCCTTGAAAATGGATATGCAAATAGACCACTTCACATATTCACCAGTGAGTATTGTCCCTCAGTACCACACAACTATCTGTAGAAGACCTCATCCCACCTACGTCAGGACAAAAGTTAAGGTCTCATCATGTGCTATGAGCGATGAAAAGTAAGTTTAATTCCAACGAGTTATCATAACTATTAAAACTCGAACCTAAGTAGTAAGCGAGAAAATCCGAAATGGTGTAGTCTTCCTCTAGTGATCATATTACCTCCATTGTCTTGCCAATATAAATTTAGTTGGGGAAAACATCAATAACTTCTCCGTCGAAAAATAAGTCGGTCCTATCAAATTTGTAATTGAACAGTGAAGTCATTTTTTTTTTCTTTTTAATAATTAGACCCAAAGAAGTTCTAATTCTTAACATATTCCACTTTCACCCTTTTTAGTGTTAATTAAAAAACTGTCATTGTTCTCTCTTACACTCAAAGGGATGGTTTTTTCCCCTTTTGCCATTGAACCTAAGTCGTTTTTATGTTTTTTTTTTTCTAATTTTTATTTTGTTTGAATTGGATCATATCCAATTTGTCCTTGAAACTCATTTAGTAAATATGTCAACAAGGATTCATTTTCACATTATGTTTTTCTATTTCAATTATCCAATCATCATGTTATTAATTTAGTTGGTCCCTAAATTTTATCTCGAATTTTAATTTAGTCCATAAACTTTCAATTTTCTTAATTAAGTCTTTTCGTTTATTTTCACCGTTAGATCAAAATGAAAATATCTGATTTAATGCTTGAATTGATTAAAATAGGCTAGTTTCAAATAAAATAAATGGAATGACTTAATTAAGTCAAACTTAATAATTGAAGGNTATCTCGAATTTTAATTTAGTCCATAAACTTTCAATTTTCTTAATTAAGTCTTTTCATTTATTTTCACCGTTAGATCAAAATGAAAATATCTGATTAATGCTTGAATTGATTAAAATAGGCTAGTTTCAAATAAAATAAATGGAATGACTTAATTAAGTCAAACTTAATAATTGAAGGACTAAATTGAAATAATTAAATATTCAAGGACCAAATTAGAACCTGAGATAAAGTTTAAAGACTAATTATATTATTTACCCCTAATTAATTGTTTATGAATGTAAAGAATCTTTATTTGGGTAAGTGAATATAATGAATTTTATAAAATAAATTGTTCCAATTTTCAAAGAAGTCCAGCAAGGCTGGCGTATCCGCTTACCAAATTCGCAGGTCCATGAAGACCATAAGTTGTCATGATCATATATTATGGCTATCTTAATTTAATTTGCGTTTATTTTAATTTAACAGTATAAAATTTATTATAATTTTTTTTACTCACATTTTATCTTTTCTATATGACTTTTAATGTCAAATAATTCAACTAACCCACCTTTTTTTTTTTTTTGGTTCAATGTTTAAGAGTGTTCGAGCTAATTTACGTACAACTCGACTAATTCTCTCTCTCATTTCAGTTAAAGTTAGATCATCCTGACTGAGACTAGAGTATTCGGGAGGGAATAAATCCGTCACATGGTTTGACTCTAAGTGATTATCGAGATGCGAACTCAAGTTATGTAAATTTACAACTCGTCTCTATCACTTTTTTAGTTATTCATTAGGGTTACTAGCACACATTTTAATATAAAAAAATCTCATTAATTAACATATCTCTCTCTTCTA